TATATATATATATATATATATATATATATATATATATATATATATATATGTGTGTGTGTGTTTTAGTCTGTAGTAATTGATGGTAATGTTTAAAAATTGAAGGCTTTACAGTGTAACTTGTCTTCTCCCAGAAAACATGCATTTAGGTCTATTCGGTGCTTTTAGCTAGATCCTTGATCCATTTGCTATATTTATACTTTCATTGTTTATTGACTCATTTTTAATATATCCCGTACTGTCTTTGCTAATCACACGACTCATTTTGTTTGCTGATTGATCCGATGACGACGTGCCTTCAAAGAGCTTAGCCATGAAGGCAAAGCCGTTTTTCTTGATGTAGGACTTTCCAGCAAAAGTATAAAGGACAGGGTTGGCGCAGCTGCTGATGAAAGCCAAAGCTGAGGTCACTGCTCGGCAGGACTGATGAATGCTGTCCAGCCTGTGGGATGAAAAGAAAGAAAGAAAGGAAAACTGTTAAGTGCAAGAATGAAGAACACTGAGGACAGTTCCCTTGGATTCTTTAGAAACTTAGAAATGGTAAATAAATAACCTGCACTTCAATAGGACTGCCATGATTCTGCATTTGTAGTTCTTTTTAAGATTTCTTTTTGGGTTTAAGTTACACTTTGATTTCTGTCATTCTGTGTTTTCTTTGTCATTGGTTTCATTCCCATGTTGTGTCATTCTAGTTTTTTTCCACTTGTGTATTTCTTGGTTACTCTCTGTTGCCCCTATTTGTTGATGGTGGCAAGTAGCCACAGTTGCCCTGGGAGAGAAGGTAGGTAGCCAGCTTTTCCCTCTTCTCTTTAGGTATCAAATGGAGTTCCTCAGGCTCTGTATTAGGGACCATTCTCTTTAATCCTTGTGATATTTCATTTAAAAAAAGACACATTTATTTTGTCTATTATCTTAAACCATAATATTTTGGCATTGTATCGATGCTAAAGACAAGTGCTGCTTCGGTGGTTTTGTTACTGACTCTAGAATTGTTGAATCGTTTCCACATTTAAAGAATACCTCAAACAACCTTGAGATGTTAGTCTGTGTCACCGCTCCTGTTCTTAGCCTTTGAGGACAGGATTTCTAGGCGGGGCCAAGGGCCGAAGGGTGTTTAGGGACCAGCAGATTTAGTCCCTGTTTTTTGAAGGTGACGTGTTCCTATTGGCTACATCCTGTAAACATCTATGTTGTCCACTGGGACAGTTTGCAGCCGAGTGTAAAGGAGCGAGGACAAGGATCAGCTCCTCTAAGTTTGATGCCATAATTCTAAAGTTGGTTTGCCATTTTAAAGACAGCACACCTGCCTTACCTAATTAATGGGGAGAAGTTGACCTTAATTATTTTAAGGTTCTGTTCTCAAGTGAGGGGAAAATGGATCAGGAGATCAAAAGATGGATCAGTGTTGCTGCTGCTATAATGTAGCTCTGCTGTGGTTAACAGAGAGCTGAGCTTTTTTCCAAATGGCCTTCCCTCTTACCCTCACCAATGGCCATGAAATCTATAAGAAGGAGCAAGATCAGTTTACAGGCGACTGAAATTATCTTTCTCTGCAGGATGGCAGAGAGAGGGAGATAGAGATAAGGAGAGGAGTTCAGTGTAGAGCTGCTCTCCTCCATATCCAGAGGAGTCAGCTCAGGTGGATTGGAATTTTTTTTCATATTTCTCTCGGACGTCTTCCTCTGGAGATGCTCAAGTCATGTCCTACCTCAAAGAGACCCAGGGGACAACGCAAGACACACTGGAGGGACTATGTCTCTCGGCTGGAGTTCCACCAGCAGAGCTGGAGGAGGTTTCTGCGGAGAGGGAAGTCAGTCTCTGTTGAGACTGCTGTCACCGCAACCCCGCCACGGATAATAAGGGGAAGACAATGACGATGCCTTTAAATATTTGTCCCTCTTTGATTCCTCGGGTTACAGAATGTGATAGTGTCAATATTTTCCTGGGTATCCATATTGACCTTAACATTTTAGTATCATGGCAACCCTACTGTAAATGGAATAAAATGGGTAAAGGTTCAGGAAAACCTTTCCCTCACTTTTTTTTACCCGACATTGCCAAATAAGCATAGATATGTAATTTCTCTCATGGCATGAAGACACTGGATTCTATTACAAAATGTCATTTTGTAAGAGATCTGGGAAAGAAGAGTCAGGGGATTTCAGACAAAGAAAATGAAAATCATTCAGAATCTTGCAAAAATTTGTTTTTCAATGTCACCAATATAACCAAGCAGTTATTATCTGATACCAAATGAATTAGTAAAATAAATGCTGATCTTATATTACTTACCGTACTCTCTTTATTTTGTGCAACTAAATGAAACCTTTTGGAACTTTTCAAAGTGTCAGAAAACAGAAAGGTGATCCATACATTTGCTGCAAAAATAAAAAAAAATACTCTTTCCTTAAAGGGGAACGCCGTTTTTTTTTTACATTGGGCCCTTAATTTTACACTATTACATCATGTTCTACTCACCCATATGTGTCATTTTGAGCTGTTCTGAAGATATTCTGTTGGGTTATATCCAAGTAACGTCTTCCTATGGGCAACGACTAAACTGTTCATAATTTATTCTTTTTGGTACGCCAGCATTGATAACATGTAGGCGAATCACTGTCCCCCAAAACGATTCTGATTA